CATTTAAAGCAACGGAGTGCATTTTGCATTCAACATTTAATGAAAAATATATTTTTAAATTAAAAACTTATCACTAAAGAAGTTTACTACAGAAACTTAATCGTGCGCTAAAATTATTAAATACTACAAGGTAATTATTGATTAAATGTCAAACTTTGCAGTAACTTCGTAACTGAAATTTAACCTGAAATCTTCCCATCAATTTTACAGCTTTATATAGATTTGGAACTGGAAATCTTATTATCCTCTACATTTCTAAAAATAAATGTGAACAGAAATCTGAAATGTGATATGTTTTCATGTCTTCGACTGGCCGAACTTTATGTCTCGTATACTAAAAATTTTTAAAGAAATCCATTTTTTTTTCAGCTTACGTTAACTAGATGCTGGGCTTATGGTTCAGCCTCGGATGTTTCTTGTGCGTGTTTTGCAGGGGGCATGGACCTTTATTTTTCCGAATGAAACTAAGGTCCCAATGAACAATGTGTATTTTGTAACTAATATCAGTATTAGTCTTATTAATGCTAAAAGAAATATCAAGTGAATAATGGACTTCCCTGCTGATATTGCAATCTCTAATCATAGTAAAGAAATATTGAAGATTGTCTTATAGAAAACTCCGGCTGCAGTTAAAATTTTTCTCAAAACCTGAGAAATACCTAAGCCATTCTATAGTAGAACATAGCTGAATTCAAGCAAAATACCACTTTTTTGAAATGACGTAATTTTTAATATAATATTACTCCATTTGCAGAAAGAAATCAATTACATTATGAGATTACAAATAGTCTTTTGACTACAAGTTTGAGAGACGGCAAACTTGAATCCCTGTTAATACATTCTCAATTAATTCTAAGCATTTAGTGTGCAAGTTCAGGTGTGCTTCAATGCATATCTTGATAATCTGAAAGCCAATATATATATAATATATTTTAGGTTGTATTATAGGTTGAAAACCTTTCTGAATTGTTTAAATATCTTTTAGTCTGATTACAAGCTTCTAAAATAATTTCCAACATAGGGGGGAAAATTGTTTTCGATAGCTGATTTTTCACGCTAAAATTTATGTAATTTATATTGCAGCATTTTACGTATGTTTTACGAAACATACCTTGACTAGTTAAATATGGAAAACTGAAAAATGATAAATAAAGAATAGAAAAAAGTAGACTATTAGAAAAATAACAAAACAACTTCATAATCAAATCTAAAATAAATAATAGTTTTAAAAAATTTTAAAGTATTAAAAGTTTCTTAAAAAATTCACGCATTCATTTCATTCGTATTTTCATTGTTTAAATGTATTTCGCCAATGTATGCTGTGAAATACATTTACATGCTGTGAGGATGTCCTTATGTGTTACTATAATACTTTTCCATATTTAAAAACAAGTGAATAGCCATTAAACTATTTTATGTGCTTTGAAAAATTAAGATATTGCTGGTTTAGCATCGTTTTTGATAGTAAGAAATGAGTCAACATTAAATAAAAAAATTTAACAACCGAAATTATTTATGTTCTGTTCCACCACAAAGAATCCTCTGGCTGTTATAAAAGATATCCCAAAATGTTTCTAGTTCATGTAGTCTTTTAGTATGACGCAGAGGGTTACATGCTTCAGATGGCACCCTATCTTTAAGAAACATATCTGTAACTGATAGAAAATTTAATAATCTTCTGAAAATTAGACAACTGACTAGCGTCTCCTCTTCCCTTTGTTGGAGGATATAAATCCTAATGTCATTTATACAAAAAAGTCTCGAAGATGAAACGTGAATGACGTAGAAATCTTCTCAGTCGGTTACCCAAACAGAGTGGGAAATTATTCTAGAAGATTATATTTCTGCGATAAATGATTACGACCTTCAATCAAAATCATTTAGAGCTATTAAAATTAATTTTCATATCTGTATTTCTTAATTAGCTATAAAAAGTTACACACTATTTAATAATTGTGTCATGAATTACTCCACTGGCTCTTGGCAACATAATCAACCGTTCTTGCGCTCTTTTAAAAGCTGCATTACTCAGAATACTAAAACTCAAGCAAATTCGGACATATTTTCCTCCTACTGTTGTTGTCGTGAATATAAGGCGGGCAGAGGTGTACTGTAAGGGCAGGGTAACTGGATCTAGTTGTAGAGCCATCTGCTGCGCGAAAAGGGCCTTTTGTACTGAATTTAGGGATCAGGCGAATGAATGAATATCAAAAAAGAGCTGGATGTGGCCGCGATTAGTGTTCTTATTTGATTGTTTATTTAATATTAAGCAATTTAAAAGAAACTAAGGACTTTAAAAAATAGCTTATTATTATTATTATTATTATTTTGAATAAGAAATGTAAAACTGCAAGTTATTGGAAAAAATTATATAATAATAATAGCTTAAATGGTTATTAATAGAATAGTTTATTTTACCATTATTGCTCCATAACCTATTGTATTACAAAACTAATATACATATATAACAAAACTAATGTATATATATATTATATATAATATATATCCAACCCCCTCGCGCCCTGTAATAATATTCATAGTCAAGAATACACTTAAAATTCTAACTGTATGTTCTTTTCATTTTTAATGGCGACGTTCTCTTATTGAAAGTACGTGAATTAAATACAGCCCCGTAGTCAAGTTGTTTTTGCCTTTTCTACACGTACATTATAGAATGTTCTATATTTAAAGCGAACTACTCTGATGTCACTATTTTGAAGCTCCGTCTTTCCAACTATAAAAGGACTCGCAAAAGAATATCGGGGCTTTTTCTTAAATTCACGATGCAGTAAACTTCATACAAAAAGTTATTAGTAATTATTTTTATTTACTCCGGATATCTGATTTTTAAGTGCTATTTCTCTGAATAATAATAAATGATCCTGTTTTTTTTTTTTTTTTTTTTTTTAAACTTATTCTGATAATTTAAGCTTAAAGCTTACATCACATATATATATATTAGTTTTGCGTTAATAACTGATTGATCAATGATGTTCGATGCATTGACGGATGTATGGATGTTTGAAGCATGTTTGATGCATTATTAAGCAAGTTTGATGCATGTTCGAAGCACTGATGAATGATGTTTAAAATAAACATTGATGAATGCTCAATTTTAACTATGATTGATGTATTTAATTCAGGAGAGTACTGTTAAATTTTTTTAACAGTTTAATTGAAGAATTTGTTCAGAATTTTAATTCAGATTATTGTTTTCGAATATATTTTCATTAAATACAGGATGTATTTATATTTTTGTCAACATATTTTATATTCCAATTTCGTAAATAAAATATCTTGACAGCTATAACTTATTATTGAGATCCATTGTCATGATACAAGATTTATTAAAAATAAGCGTCGTACGATGTTAAAAAGCTAGCTAACCAACGACAATAATCCAGAATTATAATCTTTAAAGTAAATGCATGTGTTAATGCACATTTAAATTATCAATATCCTTTGGTTTATGAAATAAATATAAAAGCTAATTTTGCTCTGCTTAGTCAAAGCTCGATTTAAAAACTGTTTAAGGAAATATATTCATTTTTTGACAGCATTTTACACAAACAAAATAAACAGTTCAAAACTGAAATTATTTCTAATTTTATGGTTTAACGCATAATTAGTTAAAATTAATAAGAAATTTCTCACAGAAAGCTTTTCTATTACGCTTTGGAAGGAAAGTAGTTACAGAAAAATTTTATATTAGTTAATGTTGAAAATGAGGGGCTTTTAGAATTTAGTAAAATTTTATAGTACGTTCACAAACGAAAAACAGGAATTACTTCGTTGCTATTCTGTAGCTTTAAAGTTCAGTAAAAATTTTGGAGTACTGCTATAAAAAACACATTTCATTGTTACTCTTTGTTTATTCAAATGAATCATTTTTCACTAAAAACATAAGGTAAAAGTTTTAGTCTATTTTATCATCATTCTTCCACATATCCGCTAAAGCGAAATAGCAAAGTATTCGTTAACTATTTTGAACGCGTAAAGTGCCTTCAGAATCAAAATAAGTTTTCTGAATAATGTACTTTCAACGTAAATTCGATTAAACGGAGCTTCCGAAATGCTTATGGAAATATTTAAACCTACGGTGAAGAAAAATCAGAAGTGGTTCTTCAATTCTCAACAAGCCACAAGTGGAATAACGCGTTCCATTCACCAGCTGTCGGATGTTTTGTGCCAAAAGCCCTAAGCTTATTGTATCCATGAAAGAGAGCTGCTCTCTGCTAGGATCGATAGGAAAATGAGGAGTTTAAGTACCCGAGTTGTGAAGAAAATCATTAAGCGTGGTACAGAGCGCAGGGAATAGAGGACTTATCCGTGCAGCGGATTAAGACGTGGCATTTGAGTTGGCCTTCCTCGTCGCTGTTGATGATTGTGGCGATAATGTCATCATCACTGACGAGTCGGGCTGTTCACTAGCATTCCCCTCTCAAAGCGCATTTCAACATATTAATAAGGGTGATATTTCCCGGATCCCTCTTCGTCAAACCCATAAAAGCCGACATTGAAGAGTATTTCATGCATAAAGTACAGGGAGCCACAAATGGATACTTGTCGCTAACGCAGAGATCTAAAATAGGGAACTTCAGTGTTAGATTGAATCTCACTTGACCTAAAAACAATCAGTCGTGTCTTGGTTTGTTAGCATGAAACTGAATACTGAAGCAAAACATTCTAATTCTTGAGATAGACTGCATTTATATATATATTTCTTTTCTTCTTTCTCTGCAAAAACTTTCAGAACTTACTGATGCAGAGAAAGAATATTTCATATAGGTAAATCCTTTACAGAACATTAATACAGTTCAATCATTTTCAGGTTACTGGCCCTTTTTTCAATAAGTACGTAACGGTAAATAATGAAATTTAGTTTAACATTGCATTGGTTTAATTTAAAAAAGAAGATTGTCGCTTTCAAACAGAAGTTTTGTTCTATATGGGCGGGGGCAACGAATGGAAAAGTATACACCAAGAAACACATATCCTACCTGTCAATTATCACGGGATCGGAGGGTGTTTCATTTCTGTTTCCACAGCTCTTCTTGTCACAGCACCGACTAAAAGCAGGTAAAAGAAATCTTTAGTTACATTTTAAAATTAAATCGAAGCATATATTTTAATTCCAGACACCGAATAAAAATAAAAGGTACTATTATTGAAAAAATGCAGTATTCTGTAATATAATTCATAGTGACAAATTAAATTATGCCTCATTGTGTCAATAATTTCCAGAAAACATTTATAAGGCACCCGAAGTTATTAGTTGGATTATATTAATAGACTTAATAGTAGTCTTCATTTTAATTCGTAGATGTCGAGCAGCTTTTATTATAAACATTACTTCCATCTCATTGTCTCAAAATCTACAAAAAAATTTATTTGTTATTTACTTATTTTTTTATAATCTTCAGAAGCCAAAAAATGCACCACACGCAGAAGAAATTTTTTGTTATATCATTAAGAGTGTAGCTGTTAAGCCTGCAGTTTAAAATTCGTACAGAATGAAAGTCACAGAATACTTACTTAAAAAAAAAAAAAAAAAAAAAAAAAAAAAAAAAAAAACTATGATTCAAGTAAACTTAATTTTTTTAAAGTTAATTAGATAAAAATTTCTTATTGATATGCATTATCGTATTATTATTATTAATCTATATTTCGTAGCATATTAAATATCTAAAAAATTTCTAATATGAGGAAATATGACGAGATACACTCTAATAACATTTTCTTCTTTCTGCCTCATTTACGTAAATATTTACTAAACGTTTGATTTAAAACTGAGTTTTAAAATTACTATTAAATAATAATAATTTTTTTTTAATATTAATTTTTTTTTTTTTTTTTTTTTTTTTTTTTTCTTCTGAACACCAGTCTTAATTGAGAAATTCGAAGAAAAAGAGTTCCATAAAATAAAATTTATATCATATAGTATCGTCTGCAGTTTTGGCTTAAGAGTAGAATGAAGTTTTGTATATGCATAAAGTAGAATTATTCATGTCTTCCTTGCTAAATCCTGCTTGGGTTCATTTTTTTCTTTTTACAGTTTCTTTCTAATTAGCCTTATGAACTCAATCTTTCTCTCACTGTTAACAGGACGCTGATGAAAAACATAATGTATCTACTCATTAAATTTTTTGCAGAGAAAATTCCACTTTATGTTCTGTCTGTAAACAGCAAAAATTTGAAAAAAAAAAATATTAAAATTCCGATATATTGATTTGAATTAGGTACATAACCAGTCTAAAACAAAGGAGTGGTTATCTAGTCATTATTTATAAGAAGTTTTGATATTGCTTATAAAACAGCAAGAAAACTCAAATGGAGTCAATTGGACTAGAAGCAGCATATTAAGAAAACGCAATTATCCGGAAAAATCAATATCCATCAGGTCATTAAGAAGCGCAATAGTGTAAATGATAAGTATAGTTTACCTAGATTGCGATCGCACCGTAATTAATCATACGCGAGTAACTAGACTATACTATTGAAATTAAATAAGTTATAGAATTATTAATTCTAGGCTGGAGTCAATTCAATGTATATTAATAATAAGTTTTTTATTTATTTGAAATTTTATTTTTAAAGAAGGCAGTTTGAGAAAGACATCAGAGTCTGGACTATATTGTTATCAATGATATTAATATAAATCATTAGCAGTATACTGATTTAGGATTAAGATCATTATCAAGAAGTTTTCTGCATGAAATAATCTTTACCACTGCTTCTGCAGTGTTTCTAAACACAGACAGTTTTAGATAAGTTATTAAAATTTATTTAAATCATCAATTCGATAATTTTTGAAATATTTGTTTTTACGGAGTGGAAAAAAAAAACATATCGAGTGCGAAAAAAAAACTGTGAACATTAATAATTATACTATGATGATACAACATATATGAATATCTGAAATTTGACTGCTAGCTATGCTTGCAAGAAAACACCATAAAAAGCTCCTTGCAAACTTTTATTTTTGATAATAGAATTCATATTTTAAAAAAATTACTTACAAGCGAAAATGCTTATTTATCTTAATGTCTTAATTCTACCGAGTATATTTTCCAAAAGCATTTTTCCTTCACTAAGACACTTAAGATAAATTTCTTTTAAAATGTCTTTATTAGATTGCTCGCAATTACTTCTTACTAAGAAAGGTAAACATAATTATATAAAGGAAAAGGGATAATTACTGCGAAAAAAAAAAGAATTAAAAATTATGACCTACAGACCGAAAAAAAGAAAAAGAAAAAGGAAATTAACGCGTCTTTTATTCTGATCAATAGACTTTGGTAGGAACTGTTTTAATTTAGACGGAAACCAAATTCTTTTTACTAAAAAATAAATTAAATGTTTCGCTTAGCAATTTTCGCTGCTTTTTTTATGGAAACCGAATAGTACCAAAAAAAGTAAACTAGAAGTTGTCGCCAACTTGTGGCGTTACCGCCATCGATTTCATAAAAATCATACTTTTTCTTCTATTAGAAATGTATTTTTATCCTATTCCTTATAAGTAACGTGCTCTTTAATTACATCTAGTTCTCGAGTCAATTAAAATGTAGTTCGGTCGAAACTATCTTTACTGTATACTACCTAAGGCAAGCCGATAAAAAAGTATCTTTTTGTTAAAAACAGATTCTGCAAATGAAAGATAATTAGAGATATCTCTTTCATATGTTCATTTTCTAATCTGTAGTATCTGTTATTTTTCCTTTCTGCCCTTCATCTTCTTTCCCTTTTTTTTTTTTTTTTTTTTTTTTTTTTCCCTGGTTTTGATTTAATCAGATTACAATGCCAGCATGCTTAAAACAGAATCGAGTGTAAAAAGAAATGCTAGGAGAATTTCCCTTCTCATTTCGTGAAAGAAATTCCGCCAGATAAAATGAACTTAACAAAGAGTCATAATTTTTTAGCTCTTTATAGAGCCAGAGATCTTATGTAACGCTACCGTTCTTTCCCTCTCTTCCATCTTTTTTATGGCAATCTTGAAAACCAGAGAAACATTAAAAACGCTTTATAAAGAAATAGGGAAGTTTTCTTGAGAAGGATAAAGGAAAATTTTTAAAATGTATTTTATGCTATAGCTTTTTTTTTCCCTTATTATTTCTTATTTTTTAAGATTTTAAGATCAGAAAACAATTCAGAGAATTTTCTTACCTGCACATGACTTCGTGCGTGAGTAAAACGCGGCACATTTCAGGATTTTTGTCTTGGCCTTCGTACAGGATGGCCTAATGAATGAAAAAATGGTATTATCTGTGAGTTCAAAATATAACAAAAGAATTGTATTGTTTTTATAGGAAAGGATTTTAAACTTAATGGGCGGATGGTTTCAAGATTTACATATTTCAAAATCATATGTAAACAGCACAAGTAGCCCTTTATATACCAATACATGTGCTTAAATACAGCGTAAGTAAAGAGTTTTATTTTAATATATTGCATGCCGTACTTCGTTTGATTTATTTGGAATATCTAACATTCAAAATAAGCTTTTCTTCCTATTACAGCTTAAATAATTTACTTCTGACTTACAAATCACTATTTTTTACTTAATCACTCGTGCTATTAAATTTAATATCACAAAGTTGTAAACACTTCCAAGTTAAAAAAATTTGTACAATTTTCGTAATGAAAATTTTGACTCTTGATTCAATAGTAATCCCAGTAATGAATTTTGAAAACAGGCGACGTAAAACTTTAAATCACTTTTTCCATAAAATTTAGAATAAATATTACTTATTTGTAATTTTTAATTGAAAAGTAAAAATTTACTTTTGAAAATAAGTGATGATATAAAAAATGCGTCTAATCCAAAATCTGAAGAATTTCTAATAAACAATATTTTATTTAACATCAGCAGATGTAGAAGCTTGAACGATTTTCTAAAATGGTTTTTTTTTCTAATAATTAACAGCGAACTCTTCAGAGCTTACGATTATTAAGATTACTACGATTATTACCAGTCCTTCAGCAATGTAAGTATTCATTGTACATTGCCAAAGATTTAAAGGGGGGGGGGGGGAGGGGTTCTTGATATTATTTGCTACTGTAGAGAGATACAAAAGTTTTCAAAAGAAAGTAAGTGTTTCATTTTAAAATACAATAGACATTTAAGGCAATGAGACATATAATGAGACATGAGTAAGTTTTCTCTTAAAGGCTGCCTTATTAGTTTAAAATGATTAGATAAACCGCCTCCAATTCTTGATTTGTAAAATTCAGGTAGCTGAAAGAATGTATTTAGACGCAATGCTATATAAAAAACAAAATTAATTATTTGACATGGTTTCAAAATTCAGAACGTCTCTGCCTATAATAAAAACTGTGATTTTAAAGTAGCGATGCTTGGAATGTTCTTTCAAAAGAACTAAAAGTATAAAATCAGTTATGTTCAGCATTACTGAGCTCATAGTATATCAAGCCCATAACCTACAATATTTAGTCCAATATACATAAAATTCTTTTCAAAATGCCTGTGATGTCAATTATTTAACAAGAAGAAGAAGAGTAAATATTTTTTCATTGAGTTAAATGTAGAGTAGAAATTTAATATGAAGTAAATAAAATTACAATTAAGATACAATAACATGCCGAACAAGTATTAATTAGTTAGTTAAACAACAAAAATCAGCGTTATATTTTCAAATTTTCACAGGTCTCCTTTCGATGGTTTTCCCGAACCATCATGATTTGCTGATGGTTCGGTAAAATCATCGAAACGAGTCCTGTGAAAATTTGAAAATATAACGCTGATTTTTGTTGTTTGACTTCTAAATTAAAATTACAATTATCAAGTAAATATAATTGCTCTAAACAAATAACAACACAGTTTAGCATTCGCCGCGGATCTCCAAAAAATGTATCTAAATATTTTCATCTCAGAAAGTGTAGTAAAAGTGGACCTTAATCGCTATCAAACATACACTACTATATCACTTCTTAAGATGTTGTACTAACTCCATATTAGTTATGCTATTCCTTTAGTTGATGACATGCTGTTTTTTTCAATTTTTTTCAATAAACATAATCTACATTCAGCATGAACAAGTATTTTTCTCTTTGCTATGATATCAAACTCCCTTTTAAAACAAAAAATAGCACAAATCTTATAAGTTTTGAGCTGCTTTTCCACACCCCCGGTTAGAAAGCTTTTACCTAAACTGATTCACAATCACAAATAGCTTGTACTCTGGCAATCTCAAGATTCGAACATGGATGAACATCTCCAAGACGATAGCAGCATACATCAGTGTAGTTCACGTGATGTATATTTCAGGTTTAGGGACATTAGAAGATTTAGAAATCATTAACGTAATAGAATTTTTTCTGAAGGATGCTGTGCCAAAATCCCATATGGAATAGCTTGCTTAGCGATTTCCTTCCTTTACCTCGTGTACCTGGGAAACGGAAAGGATAAATCAAGGGTGTCGCAGACAGAGAGAATGGTTAGGGCACTTAAAATGCTTTCCAACGGATATCTTGATTAATGACAAATGATTATTGCCATAATTGATCCGTGAGTGTTTCATCCTTCTTCATTAAGATAAATGGGCCGGAACTATCGGGAACTTTTCATATTTAAAACCTATTTAGCTGAAAGCTTCTCCAATTTGCGCGCGTCATTTATGACCGGGATGCCTCCACAAATCTTTGACTATTGGTAGAATTCCAAACTTTTAAAATTTCTAGACCGTGGACGTTTTATTTTAAATTCCGGTCTTCTCAGGCGTAATTTTGGAGGATCAATCATTGATTATGGATGATTCAGATTCAGTATTTTTCTTAATATTTTAAAATATTTTTTCTGTTTCATTTTTTTTTTTTTTTAACTTTTTTTTTTTAAAAAAAAGTTTTGAATTTTGAAAAAATTGAGAAGTCAAAAAAATATATCTATTCATTTTTCCTTTACGTTAGTCCTTAAATCTTTTTGACTATTCATCTAAGGAACTAAAAATGTTAAATACTTGATAAATAGTCTAACTTCGAAGGACTTTTAAATCCAACTTATCCATCCCCATCAGGTTTCATAGCGATGCGAAATTTTTACCAGCGTTTAATAAATAATGTTCTAGCGAATATAAAATGATGTCCTGGATCCAGTACAGAATTAAGTTAATATCACTTCTGAAGACGTAATAATGATAGGGGAAAAAAAAACACTTAGAACTGAAAATGCGGGCAACATTGTTGCTAAAATGATAAATGAAAAATTTTTAAATATCCTGTTCAGTAACAGAATCAATGAAACTCTTATCAGTATCTTTTTATATCTTTTACAGCAAATGGTATTTGCTCCTTATAAGCAGATTAGATCGATAAAGGCTTTTTAATTCATTTTCAACATACTCTTAGTTAGCAATTATCAGCAGACTGAGAAAAATCATTTTTACCATTCTTTAATAAATAAATTATGTTATAGCAAATGGAAAATGATGTCCTAAATCCAATACAGAATTAAATTTAAGTAATATCATTTCTGAAGACGTAATAATGGTAGAAAGAAAACACTTAGAATTGTTTGGAAATGCGGGCAACAATGTTGCTGAAATTATAAATGAAAAAATTTTAAATACCCTGTTCAGTAACAGAATCAAACCGTTGTCAGTATCTTTTTATTCGTTTCAAAGCAAGTAATATTTGTTTCTTAAAAGCAGGTTAGATTGATGAAGGCTTCTTAACACTTTTCAGCACTCTAATACTTTCAGCACTCCTTGGTTAACAGTTATCAACAGACTGAGAAAAATCTTCACATGCGAAACACGGATAAATTGGAAAGTATGGAAGAATGTTACAAAGACATATTTATAACAAAATGCAAAGATTTATGTTTTAAATTCACAGTTAGGAGAATAAGATTCATTGTATAATGCAAAGATACTGGGTATAAGAGGGAATTAACAGAGCTCCCCTCCCCCAAACACTAAGTTCTCACTTTTTTTCAACGAAGAGATATGCATAACTTAGTATAAGACATTATAATTGTTTAGGTATTTACAAATCTGCTGAAGCTAATGATCTGCTGTGGCCTTAATATGCATTTAAATATTTCTAAACTTACAAATGTTGCATCTTAAAAGTGAAATTTTACTATTCGTAGAATTTTTTGTAGATTTTAAAATAAAGTGCGACTTTTAGAGAATACAGATTGCAACCTATTTATATAATTAATTCTTCAATTACATATTGATTTTACTTTATATGTATATCGAGGGCTATGTCATTTTCCAAAGAATTAGTATTTCTCATGTATTAACAATATTGAATAAAAATGTATTTAAATGAACTTCAGAAAAATATATTAACTTTATTTCAAAATAAAACTAAAACTGCAGAGGAAGAATAACGCAGGCAAAAACCAAAGGAAACAAATCTGAAGGATTTTATTAAGCGCATTTTGTTCCTAAAGATATGTATTTTCAGAAGAATAGAAGACAGCTCGAAATTCACTTTCAGGCAACACTTATCGAGCAAATTATTGCAACGACTAAATATTTGACTAAATATTTTCTTTAAATGAGAGAAGAAATTAAAAGAAGGGGGAAGGAAAAAGGGGCGGAAATGGAAAATTACACCTTACAAAAGTAGCGATTTTATTCAGAGTGAAACAAATTCTGATAGGTGTGTTCCATTTTGTTTTACCAAAATTTAAAAGTGCTATGCTCTACAAACAGCTCATTTTTCGCCAAGTTATATCAATGGATTTCAATAAATATGGCATTTCTTCCGTTATTTAGCAGCATACTATTAGATTTTTTAGCAGTATGATTCGGATCAAGGAAGACGATGTCATTTGCTGTCAAGTTTTTATAACATTCTTTGCGTCTAAGTTAAAAAGAAACAAGTTGAGGGGGTCTGAATTTGAATAACAAATTTCTGCATTAACGTCATTGAAACTAAGTTCTGTAATATGGCCACAAACAGGAGGAGGGGGAGAGAGAATACCTTTTATTCAACTTCCTTTTCATCTAGATTGCATCTGAAAATCCTTATGTTCTATAAATAACAGTAATAAAAAAATATTGTAGCACCATTTCCTCTTTTTCACCATACTGAAAAGGCGAAGAAGCAAGCGATTAAGAAGTCTCTTTAATAAGTCCCTTGAAACAATCACCACTCATACTCAAAAATAATTCGAGGGAAAGAATTTCACACCCTTTAAAGATTATTCCAATCAGTAAAGTGGAAAGATTTCCCTTTTACATTTTTGTTTCTTTTATCTTCGCTCCAC